TATGTTGAAGCCCAAATCCTCAGTGTGCCTGTAATTGGAGATAGGGTCTTAAGGAGATAATACATTTAAATGAAGTCTTAAGGGTGGGGCCTTGATCCAATAAGACTTGTGTCCTTAAAAAAAGAGAGCCACCAGAGCTTGTTCTCTATTGCTGCCTGTGAGTGCACAGACAAGAGGCTGTGTGAGGACACAGTGAAGCAATGGCTGTCCACAAGCCAAGGAGGTAGACCAGAAGCCAGCCCTGATGGTCCATTGATCCTGGATCTCCAGCCTCCAGAACTATGAGAAGATACATTTTGGTGTTTATGCAACCCAGTCTGTGGTATTTTGTTTTGGCAGCATGAGTAGACTAATACACATCCTCTCTGATATATTAATAATTCTTTTGGGGTTTGGTCTGTGCATTGAGATTTCTAAAAAGTTTCATAGGTGAGTCTAGAATACAACCAAGGCTTCTAGAATATGTCAGGGCCTTGGATGGTGAATAAAAATATAGCCTCTACCCTTTTGGAAAAACAGCTTACTAAATAAGTTTAGAGAGCTGAGATAGATGAGATGGATAAAAAGAAACGTAAGTAGATGATAGAAAGAGAGAGAGAGAGAGAGAGAAAGGTTTTGTGGTAAATATTGTGAAGAGGAAGAGCAGGATGCTATGAGATAAAACATAGGACTGTTGACAATATACTCTAAATCAGGCAATACAGAAGCATCTTTGAGGAGCTGATACTTCAGCAAAGACCTGAAATAAGACAAGAGCCAACCTGAAGGGAGAAAGGAAAAGTATTGCAAGTGTTAGATATCCCAGTAGTTATATTTTGACTTACAGAGGAATATACTATGTAGGAAAGACATTGAATAAGAGACTTAATAATATCTTTACCTTGTCTTCATGAAATAAATGTATTAGGGAAGTATTCTTTGCCTATGAAACTCCACTTGTATTAAATCTCTGACCTATTATACATTTTAATTACCAATGACATTAGGAGTAATAGTTTCTTGAGGGGGTGAGGTAGTCATAATAGAGTTCTAAAAATGAATAGGTTCTCAGGTATTATGCATAATTGAACTTATTTTTAGATGGACTTAACTGAAACTCTTCTCTGTTGAAGTTGTTTTATTTTTACTTTCCAAAAAAAATATATATATATCATCCCTAGATAATCTATTCCAGAAATTCACAATCCTGTCTCCATATAGGATTCTAAGCTTTGTGATCATTTCTCTAAAAAAGAAACGAAGGCACAGTAGATTAAGAAACTAGTCCAAGGGTGGCAAATAGAGCATCATCCTCTATGCCAGCGTGATTACATAGTGGTGATTCCTTGGAGTATTGTTGAGATGAATTCTGAGCTGTAGCCAGCTACAAAATGTCAGGATTGATTATTGATGCCTGTCATGCATGTGGGAGGGAGTACATGTATTCCATGCTTTGTATTTCTAAATTCATCCATTATTACTTACTTTCATTTAGGAGCTGAATTTAGATTTATTTATCACTATCTTAAGTGCTCTTTTCTTAACTAAAGCTGTTTGTTCTCTAAGAAGGAAAAAAAAAGCCCACAAAACCACTATACTGCTGTGTTATCTTCAGAATCATATATACATATGGATGGGCATATAGGCCAATCCATAGCGAAAGTGTTATTAGTGTTTTCATTTTACAACAAGAAAGCATTGATTCCCTTTAAAGAATTAATTTATTTCTAACAGAGAATTATTGACTCCTCTTAAGAAACATCTGCATAAAATGGCAGACTAATAATACACCAAAAGTACCAGAAACTTGTATGATCATCCTACATTTTAAAATATAATACCGATGTGTCCTATTTCATCAGAATATTAATTAGACTTGTATGTAATAAGGAAGCAAATACGTATCAGTGCCATAGAATACTATAAAAATGTTTCTTACACATTCTGGCATATATCAAATCTACTAATATTATATGAGCTTTAGTTCTAATTTTCTTTTATGTCAATGTGGGATGAGGAGCTCTGAGATGCTCAACATGGCAACTCATTGACACAGAGTTTAGCCACAGTCTGACCTCACCAAAAGAGCTCCCACAATTACTACATCTCTTAGAATCCTGGTAATAGGCTATCATTCTTTTGTTATTATTATCATTTTTTTGTCATATGACTAGGCTATACAAAATTGATTTTACCTCACAAAAAGGTAATATAAAACAATCATTATAAACCATATTGCAGTATTTTAAAGGCAAATAGGAAAAGGGAAGGTGGGCCATCCTTAACCATAAAATATACAATTTTGTTACATTAAAAGTAGTTACATAATTTTGGTGCCTAAGTCTTTTCAAATGCCTTCACCACCTACTTTCACATTTGTGGAAAACATCTAGTGTTCTGAAAACTTTTCATTGGTACTTTATGCACTCACTCTGAGCCTTGCTCCCCAAACCCAGGACAGTGATACCCCAGTGTGAGCAGGGACAGCAACCCCATGGCACTTCCGCTCACCCAGAGTGAGGCAGAGGAAACTGTTTTCTAGAACGGTATGTATCCCTTCATTTGCCTTTCCCATCCAGAAAAGACAGAAGATGGACTTACAGATGGGGTAAAGAATAGTTCGTTGTCCCCCAGGCAGGAAAGGGTGGAACCATTTGCACGGAATAGCATCTGGAGTCCCTGCACTCCAAGGACCCACGCTTCCAGGGGGAAGCCAGCTTTCCTCATTCATTGCTGTTTCCTAAGGAAGGACGGAAAGTGAACAAGGGAGGAGAGAAAGGAGCAGGGGACTCCCTTTGTATCTGTGTCCAATATGGTTTCTTTTGATTTTTCATCCTCCATAGTCAAGGGCTACCCAGGGGTTCTCATCTGTTACTAGGCTGGCTGTACCTGCCTGCCTGTGTGAAAGTCGCTCAGCTGCTGTCTGGGATGACGCGAGCACATCACATCTATCTCCCTGGCATCTACTGAGCTCTGGGCCACAAGGATCAAGCCCCACATGGAGCACAAAGGCAGGTCTGTATAGAAAGAGGTGACCTTCTTTATTGTCCAAGGCTCTTTGTGTGACTCTAGGGTCACCGCTCCCTCTGCATTGCTGCCTAGACCATGGGAGAGAAGAGGGGGTTCGAGGCTAAGTACAGTAAACAATCCCTGTACACTTGTGTGGGTAAAAACGTAGGATTATTAATGGGTCCGCCATTTCCCCACCCCTTATGTCTCAATATAAAACCCAGGACATCAGTAGAACTGATATTTTTTGAGACCTGTTTTTCTGTTCTGAGACCAGATAGAACATTTGAAATTGTGATTGAAAGAATGAATGAGAGACATTCAGGGTTTGTTTCAGATTTAAACCAGCATCCACTGACCTCAGGAAACAAGACATTAAATATCCTACTATCTTCTTTGGTCTTGTTTTTATTATCATCATCATTTACAAAGTATTTTTTCAAAAAACATGATGATTGTTGGCTGATGGTCAGAAAGGAGATACACAGAATACAAACGACTTTCTCATTCCGACAAAATCCTCATCAGTGACAAGGAAGAAGTCAGAACACTGTAATACCAGATAAGAAACATTTAAAATTTTGATGATGCCATTTTTATTTAATAAAAGAAAGAAAAACATTTCAATCAAAAGCATGTACTAAGCAATGTGAGATTAGAACCAGGTACCAAACTCATTCTTAAATCTCTCACAATGGATGAAAAAATAAAAGATTCACATAATCGAATATTTCCAGGAAATGCTGAATAAAATACAGATATAGTTGATCAATGCAGTTCTTTATTGTCACATTGATCAAGATCTTTATTAAGGAATTTACATCTTTATCAGGTATTTAATGTATAGTGACACTTCAAAAATAGAATACAGAACGTAACAATTTGATTTGCATACATTTTTTCACCAGGTAACATTACATAGGATTAGGATTTTTTGGGGAACACCTTTGAGAAATTATATGCTGTATATGACAAGTATTCTAAATAATAAAGTAATTTTATAATGCTAAAATAAATAATCTTTCACAATGTCTTATGTACCTTTCTGGATAAAATTTTGGTTAACAAAAAGAATCTGGTCAACTGGATCCTGATCTTTGACCTTATGTTTATGGGCAAAGATTTCTTTTCTTTTTTCTTCAAAATGTTGTTTTATGGTTTAAAGAGGGAAATATCCTATAAGTAAAACCTCTTTTTTCCCAAAGCCATATGATTTATACTTCCTGAAAAGTATTTGCCACTGCAGAGTTAACAATGATAAAATATTGCCTTACTCTTCTTTGCATACATCATACCATATGCTTCTCATTCATTTGCATTTTTCTCCTTCAATTAAAACGTTGCAAATTTCAATCTCAGAAAAACATTTATCAGTCACTATGTCTGTCCCACCATATACTTTGATCGCTAGTAACAGAGGCCTATCTTTTCTTCTTGTGCCATATCTTTCATAAGTACATTTCCAATACTTGTTTTCCTATCCCTATTTCCTGTCTGCCTGATTCCCCTATCAGTCTTTCTCTGAGAAGATTCGGAAAATGGGCAATCCAAAAAAAAGGTGCTGCTGTTCCATTCGTTCCGCGCTGCCCCCATAAAAAGCTAATATTTTCAGGTTGACTGAAAGTTTAACTTTGTTATTTTTTTTTTCATTTTTCAAGAAAATCCCGCATGACATGGCACGTGTTAGTGCCCTCTTACTTAATAAATTACAAGGTTTTTTGACCTAAGTTAAAAGCTGTGCAAATCTCCCTTGTTGTGTTTTCACTACGTATGGATTTTCCTGGTCCAGCCGCAAACCCAGACATCGTGGTAGAACTCTAGAATGTAACCTCCATCTTTCTGCCTAGAGCTCCTCTTTGTCCCTCAAAACTTCAGAGAAGGCACCGTCTCCCAAGAATGTGATATTTTCTAGATGGTGAAGCTCCCTTACTTTCCTGCTAGTCATCACAAAGCAGAGATGACTTGGCAGGAAGTAAACCATATTCATGCCAGAACCACATCAAAGAGGCCAGCATCATCCTATTTTTTTAAATAGCTGGTCTTTTTTAGTAGTTAAAATAATAATCAGGGTTTTCAAGATTCTAAGCAATTTCTTTGAGATTGGAAGAATCAAAATGACCACAAAAGACCCAAAAACTTGTCTTCTCTTTATTGGGAGGATATTTTTAATGGTAGACAGAGTTCTTTTCCAGATTTCAATATACTTTGGAGTAGAACATAACATGAGTGTTTCATGCTGGTATGATGCCTGGCCTGTGGTGGTTATGGCCCCCAGGCAAACACCATCTTCTGGGAAAAAAATCATACAGGATAAGTCTTTTAAAAAATGGATCAAAGAAGTCTTGAGGGAGCCTCTTCTTGTCTGTTACTAAACACACCAATCCTTTCTTTCCTCCACAGACTGGCCTGGACCCACCCAAGCTTTTGCACTGGGTAATGAAGGCTGAACTGGTCATGCCTGGGGATAGGCTCTTTCAGCCAAGCCCCTCTCCCCTGCTAACGGGCCATTTCATTTTCAAAAGAGAGAGATATTCTAGAGCTATAAATCTCTTCTCTTTCTTTGCCAGCTTGCAGCCCCTGCCCTTATGTGGGGACTACCTCTCGGAAGTTATTCACATTGGGTGGGAGAGGTCAGCCTGACGCACAGTTCCTGGCAGGTGGTCCAGCGTGGAAGCCCAGGGCCCGTGCAGAGCTTCGGCCCCAAGGTGCTTTAAAGGCTCCCTCTGGAAAATAATAGTCCAGCGTCTTTGTCTGCATCTCCAGGGCTGTCTATGACAGGCTTTGCTTCATGACAGATTGCTGTCCAGACCCTGACCCCGCTGTATCGCCAGTCGGCCTGCCTTCCAATCCCAGTCTACAGCAACTTGACATCCTTCCAGAAAATCAGCTCTTTTTATTCTCAAAGGAAAAAAGAAAAAGAACACTCATTGTTGGAGATAGCCACAGAGAGAGTCCTCTAGGAACGTCCACCGGGAAAGGAGGGGGGGAAATAGTGGGCAATATTCGAATATTTGAATATGGACAGCGTGGAGAATGCCACTGGCTGTTATTATATTTTCTCCACACGTTACTCACCATCTCGCTCTGCCTTACCTTTCAGTTTCCTGCCTAGTCCATCAAATTAGTGTATTGCCTTTATTTTCTTTCAAACAGCTTTTTCCTTCTAATTCCTCTGGTTTTGCCTTGATTTCGTTTCTTTGTTTTCCTTCCTTTATTTTCCTTTTTACTTGTCTATATACGAGACTTTATGTTAACTCTGTGGTGGATAAAAACAAAAGCAAAGTTGATGACTCTTTCCTTTGCCCTGTTTCTGCTCTTTATATAGTACAACACCTATTGAATTCAGTGACCATATCTGGTGTTGTTTGACGTGTCTTTACGTCTAAAGCGCTAACATAGTACCTGGCAGTATTTGAAACCTCACTAATATTTGTTGAGTGAGTGAGAGAAAGAGAGCTTTCACAAAAAAATAGAATATAATTTCTCATTAGCTCATTCAATTCTGCAAGGAGGATTTCTTAACCTCAGCGCTATTGACATTTGGGGCCAATTTTTTGTTCTGGTGGGGGCCATCCTCTGCGTCACAGCTTCTCAGGATGTCTAGCCACATCCCTGGCTTCTACCCACTAGATGCCAGTAGCAGCCTCCTCCTCAATTGTGACAACCAAAAATCTCTCCAGACATTGCAAAATGTTTCCTAGGGTGAAAAAATCATTGTTCTAAATCAATGTTGCCCAGTAGAACATTCTGAAATGATGGACGTATTCTACCTCTGATGTCTGATAGCCACTTACTAGCTACTGAGCACTACAAATATAGCTAGTTCTAATTAATATGTAAGTGTAAAATACACACCAGATTTTGATTTCTTAGTCCAAAAAGGGACATAAAATATCATAGTAATAGCTTTTAATATTGATTACATATTAAAATAATAATTTGAATATGTTAAGTTAAATACATTATTTACATTAATTTTATGTTTCTTTTTATTATTTTTGGCTACTAGAAATGTATAATGACATCATGCGGCTTGCATTTGTAGCTCACATTATATTTAATTAGAAAGCAGTGCTCCAGACAGTCATTGCTTGGTTTGGGTTTACTTTCCCAGTTTATTTTTTTAATTACATTCTTCTCACCTGTTCTCCTAAGACACCACTGTGAGTATTTTGTGTACTAAGTTATTTTTGTGCAGTTTCTTGTCTAGTTTACTATCTGTGTGATCTTGAGTATCTCCCTCGCTGACCCTTATTTCCTTCAAATATAAAATCAGTGAATTATACTCAATGATTCTTGAAAGTCTCCTATGAGTCTAAAACCCTAAGTTGAATCAGCTGTGTTTAATCAGACATAGATGCTCAGTGCAGCCTCTCCGAGGAGGATAAGCCAGGCATCCCTTAGAAAGGCTACTATGGGTTCCAGTGCAAGAGTTTTGCAATCAGACCTGGCTGGCCTTAGATCACCCAGTGGACTCCAGCCTGTCCCAGAGGATGCTGGCTTGGGGGATGCTGATAGGAATTATTAATGCTAGGAGGAAAAAATTCCATAGTTAGATACATTTGAGATATACTGATAAGTGAAACTGGAGAAGCCTATATAACCACAGGTCATCTCAGAACATTTAATATATTAAAATGCAGTGTAAATCAAAGGAGGTATATAGAATACAAAATTTTCATGTTTATGTATTTATGGAACTTGTATACTGCTTTGGATTTTAATCTGATAGTAATGAGTATCCATTGAAGCCAGGAGTGACAAGAAGGATTAATGTTTTAGAGAGCTTCCTCTGGGCACTGTAAATGTCACATTGGAAGTCAGAGATCGGGGCAGGGTGGCAGTGGTGTCCAGGGAAGAAGCAAGTAATAAGGCTGTAGCAGTTGCTTGAATTAACATTTATAGGACCTGAACAGGGATGATCTGAAAGGTAATTGCGAAATTCAATCAACATGGTTAGGTAGGCCCAGGAAGTCCCGGTTTCTGGCTTGGCAACTCAGTGGATAGTGGTGGGTCTGTCAATGAGTGCACAGCCTCGTTAAGGAAACAGAAATTACTTGCTTACTTACAGAAGTAAGTAATTACACTATCTTGTGTTGCACAAAATTTAGAAGTAGGGGCTGGGCACGGTGGCTCATGCATGTAATCCCAGCACTTTGGGAGGCCGAAGTGGGTGTATCGCTGGAGGTCAGGCATTCGAGACCAGCTTGGCCAACATGGTGAAACCCTGTCTCTACTAAAAATATAAAAATTAGCTGGGCTTGGTGGCAGGCGCCTGTAATCCTAGCTACTCGGGAGGCTGAGGCAGGAGAATTGCTTGAACCTGAAAGGCGAAAGTTGTAGTGAGCTGAGATCGTGCCACTGCATTGCAGCCTGGGCGACAGAGCAAGACTCTGTCTCAAAAAAAAAAAAAAAAAATTAGAAGTAAGTTTCAAGGCGGAAGTCATTAGCTCATACATATACATAGACATAAACATATTTTTATTAATAAAAGGTGTAAGATGAATGATCTTTCCAACCGGTAGCAATATTTACAAATATTTCAGTTGTGCACATGTTTTAAAAGTTTGGATCAGGGTTCAAGATTCAACTTTGTACTCAAAAAATAAAGAAGTTATTGGGTATGGGGATTACAAAGTTATAGGAAGACACATCTAGCAGGAATAAAGTCAGTGCAGTCTGAAATCTCACTGAAGGCAAGAATTACGTGTGTATCGTTCACCCTGTATCCCTGGCCCCTAGCTAAATGACTGGAATATAAAGATCTATTCAACAGTCTTAATTTCAAAGGATTCTGCATCTGCCTCTGAAAACTACATATAATATAAAGAAATGATATAATATGATTATTTCATTTAACTAAAAGCATTGCTTTTCACAGCAGCAATGGGAACTCTTGCTTCTTTGGAAATTGTTTTTCATGTTAGATGTTCTCAATATTTTAGGTAATATTTTCGGTTGTTAGTGAAAAGCTCTTCCACTTTTGGCAGGGGGTGGTAGACTAACTTGGCCCATGAGGTCTTAAAATGAGGCCCCTCAGGGTGCAGTGAAAATCTCATAGCCTTACTTAGTGTCTTGATGACTTTGGTCCCAACATGGTTTGTATTCATAATTCTATTCTGAATTCTGTTCAGTAAACAATTATTTTTAAGAGAACTCCCTAGTATCTCATTCACAAATTACACTTGTGAATTATCTATATCTTACAAACTAAGGAAAACAAAAATTAAAAATTAGTCCCCATTTAATTTATTTGGATAGTCGATTGATTTTAAATTAATAAAAATTCTTAAAATGTGATTGGAATTCCAGTAGTATAATTTGTATTCTACCAGGTATTTATAAATTATCAAAAGAATCTGAATTATATTACTTTTGCCATATCTGCCCCCTCTTGCTCTCTGCTCTGCCAACCTCTGTAAAGTAATGTGCAGGTTCCTGCTATCCAGTGTGGTCCATGCATCAACAGTGTCAGCATCATCAGGAGATGTCTTAGAAATGCAGAATTTCAGTCCCCACCCTAGAGGAACTAAATTAAAAATACTCAGGAAATTCATATACGCATTTAAGATATTGATAACTCTTGATTGGCCATGTTAATAGGGATGAAAATAGGAGAGACAAAATGCTTCATTTCTGACATAATTTTGATGTCATCCTTGTTCATATTTTCAAGAACTGCTCATAAGTTACTATTGGGTGTGGCTGGCTTTTAGTTCCACTTCTCTCACTTAGTAGTGACAATCAGTGATATTCCTCAAAGAACAAGAAATGGACCATGCATAAGTTATATGGAGAGAGTAAATGTCTCAGGATGCTACAATGACTTGACCAAATTGCTTTCATGGCGAAGATGCAACTGAGAGGCCCTGGAATGCACACTTGGGATCTAGGAAGAATGTCCCTGAGTGTGGCAGCTGCAGAGGCCGCAGAGAGGAATTTCAGCCTAGCCAGTAGACGCAGTATGAGAAGCCAGCTGGGAACAAGGGCCAACGGCTCACAATACAAGTAAGCAGTGGCTTAGAGGGCTTGGAATGGTGGTGCCTAAGAAGTGGGCTCTCCAAAGCAAATAGAGGCCAGTAATTGGAAGAGGGCAAAGGAAGATCATGCCCAGAAAGGCTAGCGGTGCCAGGAAGCAAGGCTCCAGCAGTACTACCAAATTATTAAACAAACAAACAAAAAATGGCAGGAAGGGATGAGGCTGTTAGTAAAGATGATCAGGAGTTTTGCTGATTGCAAAAGGAAGCTCTAATTCCTGGCTTACTGAAAATATTTGACATATTGAATAGATATGGGCTCTGCATCCTGCCCTCTAAATATAGGAAGCTATGGCATTTTAAGAAAAAAAAAATTACTGTTTAATATCAGATACAAGGAATGTTTATAAAAACTAACAACCAGTCTTAGAAATAAACTCCAAAATGTAACCTCTCCTTGCATTATGCCACTTGTCTGCAAAGGTGGAGAGAGGTAGCTGACGGGGCTGTGCGTACGTAAACACATGATGAGCAAAGTCCAAAGATGACATTTCCTCTTCCAGATTCGGGGCCTCTAGTCAGAGGGTGATTTACACGTCAGTTGCAGTGTGTTGGTCAATGTTCCAGGCTGTCAGCTCAGCACCGCCCTCAGGGCTCAAGCTACACAGGGCATTGAAAGGTTAGTCAAAGACCACATTGTGTTCCTCTTGCTGCAGGAGCGGCTGCACTAATTTGGATTGTGACTTGGCTTGTCTCCCCTTACTCTTCCTGAGGTCTGAGCTGGGTTTGTGTCAATCAGTGGTGTCACATCATTCGAGCCTTGGAGGGTGGTAGCCCTTCTCAGCCCACGGAGTCATTTTTATGAAACGTTTTAGAAAGGCATCTGGGATGCCGTGATTCAGCTCTGCATACTCCATACCAATGAGGGTCACCATCACATCTTTCTGCAGATTTATGGAAGGCATGTTTCACATTCAGTGTATTTAATTAATTTTACACTAGTTGGTGGGAGGAATATTAGATCTGGAGTCAGAAAGCCTAGCTTTGACTGTCTTTGTCACTTATTTTTGTGCCTCAGTTTACTTATCTATACAATCAGTATATTACCTCTCATTGTAAAAATAACACATGTGAGATCACTTTGGAAACTATAAAGAGGTATTATACAAAAAAGAGGGATTGTGATGATTGTTACACTATTAGAGGGAAGCCACATCGGAACCAAAGATCAAATAAAATACAATCAGCGCTGCACATGAGGGGGTGGAGATCACAGTCAAATGTTTCCAATTCAAACATGATCTTACAAAGCCAAAATTATCAAGAATCATTGAAATCAGAGATTACTTTACTATAATGTTGCTTTAGCAGCAAACAGTCATTAGGTTCCATTAAGTATGAATGGTCATCAGTTAGTATAAATAGTGAGTGTGACTGCCAAATAAAACACTAATACAAGTATTCTCTGAACTAATGAAGCAGGTGAGCACAAGTAAACAAAATAGCTTTTTCATTTTTTATAGGTAATGGCTGGAACAAGTCACCGCTGTCAGGTGGCCCTACCTGGCAAGGAACTCTCTCCTCTTTCCTTCTTCTGAAGAGACGTTCCCCCTTTAAAAAAAAAAAAAAATTTTTTTTTTTTTTGGTTTTAGGAGATGACAGCAAGCCTCATGTTCCAAAAAAAATCTCTCTTCTCATTCCCCTTTCTTGTCTTCCTGAGAACCAGTTACTCCTTTGGGTCTCTTTCTTCTAATCCTTGCATCACCAGCTTTTTCCTCTAAACATTCTGCTTTCATGAACTTACCCCTGTCTAGTCTCTGCCAAATCAAAAGTAGAGTTTCCTGAAATCTCTCACCTCAACAGTAAAATGCGTAAAGGATGCTTTCTTATTGTCTTGCCCTTTCCTTCTGAATTTTTAATGGCAGCTTGAAATATTTTGCTTTTCTTTTTTTAAAAGAAGTGTCAGGGTAGAAGAAAGTAGACCCTTTTTAACATTCAGAAATATGTAGATATAATGGAGAAAAATAAAAGTGTTATTCCCATCTTTAATGAATCAAAAGTTTTCTCATAGGGTTTTGTCAATTACAGACACCATTTTTAATTCCATAAAGACTTACCTTGGCGGGAGGACAGTGTTAAGGCCCAAGATAATCAGTCTTTGACACGTTCTGCATTCACATGCTTGAAGGTATGCATTGGTTGGGATTGATTAGGACAAATGAGCAGCTGAAATGTAGGGAAGAGATCCTAGCAGCACTCATGACATACACGTGCCATCGTGACTTCACTTGGCATATTATTCTAAGAAAAATATCTGAAGTTTCCTAAGTTTTCTCACCCTTACAAATTCAGTGTAAGAGTACAGCTATTAACTCTTCGATCTAGGTCTCAGGACTTTAGCCACCTCCTCTGCTGGCTCCCCCCTTGATAGACTCAGAAGGACCCAAACTTCAGCATCTAGATGGAAAGTATCTTGCCATATAAATATATGAATCTTTTCAGTAGCTCTAGGGTTATTTACAGTAATAATCATTTGGGGCCCTCAGATTCTCCTAGAGATTACTAAACAATAAATCTGTTTTCTTATAATGTGAACAAATCTTTCCATGTTTAGATAATACAATTTGCTGGTGACTGCAGATTTGTTCTTCTTGGTCATCCATTAAAAGCACCAGAGTCTAAGCCAGAAACGGCACCATAGGAGCAGTCAGTAGGCCTGAAGAGTATTATGAATTTTGATATCTACAGCATAGAAAAAGAGAGTTTTCCCTTATAGCTAGAGATTTTCTGTTCCTTCTGGATCAAACTGGGTAATAGTTTAAACTTTCTTGTTAGACTGGGCTTTGTTTGTTCTCATTGTACTTTAAGCCAATAATTATGTAGTCGTGTTCTTTTCACATCCCTTTTAAATTACTGTTCTGAAAAAAACTCACCATCGTCATTAATCATACAAATTACCAATCCTAAGAAAAATTAATTTTAAAATCATTTGTGCACGTTTGTATTTATGATTAAAAAAAAATCCCATGAAAACTGGAACTATCACATGAAATATAATGTTGCCCCAGGACAAAATAGCACCAGTCTAAAGAAACTGGCAGTAGACCTGACGAAATTAGAAAATCAGCAAATAGAAATGAAGTAAGATACACACTCCTATTTTTGAACATTTAACTGCATAGCTTATGATTCACTTTTTAAAATCTCTTTAATCTTCTTAGCAACTCAGTAAGAGGTACCATGCTCCTATTTTTTTATATGTTGAGACCAAGCTTAAAAGTGGGGCAACTGACCTAGGTCACTTATGTATTAATTTTTGTCTGACCCTAAAGACTATCTTTCCATTCTGCCAACATACTTCTGGTCCCAAATATTTCCTTTTCATTTGACTTCCATGTTTGAGGATGAAAAGCTAATTCCACAGTGTGCAGCAGTAGGCAGTGAAGGACAGTGTAAAGTAAGGAGAAAAATAAGTTAAGTCCCAAAACATGAACGAGACTGATGCATATTTTGTAGTGAATTGAAACACAAAAAGCAAAGAAATGGGGTCTTGAATGATTTTTATTACTCTACTAAGGTGAAGGTAGGCAGAAATCCTAGTCTTTCCATAAATTATTCTTTTTCTTCTTATTTCAAAAGATGTTTGCATTCTGGTAAGCCTACCAAATTTAAATATTTGTTAATTTTAAAGTGTTTAATCAAGGAGAATTTAGTGAACTGCATTTGATTTTATGTGGTTCCTGAAGTTTTGGGACATTATTTTTTTTTCTGTTTTATTTATAAACATAGATAAATTGTGCCTTTGAAAATACATAAAGTTTTTGGTTTTTTTTAAAGTGTTTTGTGCTTATGAAAGAGCGCTATAAAAGAGTCTAATATTCTGTGAATTAATTTAATTCACAGGTGATCTGTAGGAATATGAAGTCTTATGGGCTATTTTCTTTACTTCAAACAAAACCCCTTTCCATGCAAACCTCCCTGCATAGTGAGTACTGACTTTTTCTTCCGAGATTGAAAGTGCTTCGTGTGTGGATATCACCTGGAGCTCTCTCTGGCTGTGGAGCAGTCTGAGTGCCCATATTGGAACTGCCAATTATTTTAATGGCCCCGCCCATTTCACTACTATTGGACCACAACTCTTAATTAAAGTCACTTCAAAGACCCCAAACAGATTGATCCACATGTGAATGTTACCCAAACTGTCTTCAAAAGGAGGAGGGACTCTAGTCTTACGTTCCTTTGAACCTACTGTTGCTCATTTACTAGTATTTACTTTGCATGGCCTGTGGCTGAACCATGGAAATTGGAAAACAAACTCCTATTCAGCAAGTCATGTCAAAGGTGACTGCAGAGCCACAGAGTCGGCTGTGGGACAGACATTCTTTCTGATCAAGAGGCCTCTTCTGCAGCGCTGCTGTCTCCACAGTTACATACCTGTCCGTGGAAGACTTTCGTTTATCTTGTCTATGTGGGAAGTCCTAGACGATGCCATCGATCTGGGAGATGAGAGAGATGCCCATATGACATGCCGACAATAGTTGTGGGGCAGAATAAAAAAAAAGAAAAAGAAAATTAGCTGGACCCTGAACAAAGATCTTTTGAGCTGTGCTATGACTGTAGAGAAGATCCAATCGGCGCTCTGTTCAGAAACACACTTCGTATTCTTTCAGACACACAGTGAAGCAAGCATTTTCACTTAAGAACATAAAATGGGTACCGTCCAAGGATTCAGTGAAGAGGAAGACAGGAAATAACTACATCTCTGAGTTTTCTTAAAGCGGAAAATCAGACTCTCCCCAGAAGGAAGAAGCTGCGGCATGCATCACTGCCTCATAGTCATTTACGGGGAATGTGTTTCCTGTTGACTATTCTTCTGGCAGAATCGGGAAAGGGGTATGAAATGTGCCTGATGTGATGGTTTCTGAGTTCTGTGGTCCCCAAACTAGTGTTGCTGATATTATTACTAGTCTGTGTTGAACACTGAAAAATGGTAAGATTTTATTCCTCAGAGGCATATTCAAGTACATTTTAAAGTTCATTTAGATGTGAAAAATGTAAGAACCCAGATTGAGTTACATGTATTTGCTCTTCCTGGAAAAGAAATGCTTTGCATATATGCATTTCTTATTTGATTGTGTTTTAAGGTTAAATGATGAGAGCTTTTCACAAGACCTGTGAAGGAGCACCAGAAAAGTATTAAGGGCTTTGCATCATCTTGACCGTCATCATCGTCATTGCTAATAGAATCCTCTGGAGGCCTCGCTGACTGCCATGTTTGTAATGGAAGCCAAGTCCCATTCATGTCACAAGAAGTGAAATAAAGACGAAGTTTTTCTTAGGGGAAGGTCCTTCTTTGACTAAGGGATTTGCTGCCAAACTCACAGTGTTGTCGCCAGCTGACCTTTAGGGCAAGGTGCAAAGTCCATCTGTTTCCCCAGACTTTTACTCCATAGGGGCTAATTTGAGATGAAATTTCTCAGTCATGATACTGAAGCAATGTGAATGTGAATGTTTATTTAGTGCTGGTTTTTCTGTCTAACATCATAGTTTATAGATATTCCAAATGCCTCACAAAAATAGACCAATATATTCATTTAAAACACTATAAAATGTTATTAACAAGTCTAATTGAATAAAATAAGTTAAATAAAAGGATAATAATTTTAAATACATCGCTTCTTGGCCTTTTGGCTAAGATCAAGTCTAATAATTTTAAATACATACTGAGAATACAAATTCAAATACATTGTGGCAGAAATAGCACATAATGTTTTCAAAGCGTTGTGCTTTAATCACCATTTAGATCTCAATATAGCTGAACTAAAAGCAGGTGAAGAGAAAAATATAGGAAAGTGTCTATTAAAAAGTCTTTTGGAGACCAGGCGTGGTGGCTCACACCTGCAATCCCAGCACTTTGGGCGGGTGGATCGCTTGAGCCCAGGAGTTTGAGACCAGCCTGGACAACGTAGCAAAACTGCATCTCTACAAAAAATACAAAGCATTAGCTGAGTATCATGGTGCATGCCAGTAGTCCCAGCTACTCGGGAGGCTGAACTGGGAGGATCACCAGAGCCTGGGAGGCAGAGGTTACAGTGAGTTGTGATCATGTACCATGCCTGGGTGACAAGAATAAGACCTTGTCTCAAGAAAACAAAAAACAAAACAAAAAGTCCTATGGAGAGGGCAATGCCAATGACGGTGATTTAATGCATCTACTGCACAGAATACTACTCCACCATTGGAGCTGTTGCTATTGCAAAAGCCCTCTGCAAGGTTAGCTCCATACGCAGCATCCCTAGATTCCACAACTCCGGTTAAAATCACAACTACATCACATCCTGACCTCATCAACCTTGGTTATGTCACTCTGGGGTGGTGTTTGAGGACACGAAGAAAGGAGAAGCAAGAAGCAGGCGGCTAGAGACACAGCCGATAGAAGAGCTAGCTATCTCAGCCTCCATTCATTGCCTGTTTCCCACTCCGTCCTTCCCCTCAAAGATTTGCTTTCTAGAATTTTCTATTATACTATGAGTGAGAGACACTGGATACGAAATACTTCCTTCTTATCATAGCATTATCTAAAAGTAAGCAGTAGTGACTATGTATGTTTTTACAGAATTAGTGGGAAATCTAGCTAAGAATTCAACTTTCCTCTGTCTGTCAACCTAATTTTTATTCAACCTAATCAGCCCATGGACATATGATGGAATAGGTAATGGAAGTGATAAAGTGACTACTGGTATATAAAACTGAGGTAAATAAGATTATGGTCTATATGATATTATAGGTCTTTAATTAGGTCTATTCAGCCTCAGGTTTACTTTTCAATCTACATGTTTCTCCTTTTTAAGACAAATCTGTGCACTGAACTGCAGTTGCTATCTGCTGGAGATTGCTTGTTCAGTAATAATGAATAAAAGTATCTGACATTTGGCCAGACAAGGTAGCTCATACCTGTCATCCCAGTACTTTGGGAGGTTGAGGCAGGAGGATTGCTTGGGGCCAGGAGTTCAAGACCAGCCTGGGCAACATAGCAAGACTCCATCTCTACAAAAACCTTAAAAATTAGCTGAGTATGGTGGCACATGTCTGTAGTCCTAGCTACTTGGGAGGCTAAGGCAGGAGTATTGCCTGTTCCTGGGAGTTCGAGACTGCAGTGGGCTATGATCATGCCCCTTTACTGTAGCCTGGGCAACAAAGCAAGATCCCATCTCAGAAAAGAAATCTGACATTGACGGGCATTTCCACTGTGCCAAGTACAACTCTAAGCACTTGATAAGACTTGTTTCATTTAACCAGCACAAGAACCCTGTGAGGTGGTGCCACTGTTGTCGCTACCTTACAGATGAGGAAACTGAGGCCTAAAGAACTGAGTAGCTAGCTAGTAAACAAGGAGCTGGGATGACTCCAGATACTGCATTATTCATCTCTGTGCCCTGCTGCTTCCTCAATGCAATCTGTATCCACTGAAAACCCAATGGACTGGGTGGAACATCAGTACCCACTAAATTGGGGAGACCTAATTAGTGAGGAGAAAAACCAAAGAAGCAACTTGGGACATAGCTACACACAAATTAAGGACTGACCCATTGTGAGATAACCAAGGGAACATCTGCCAAAAACAGCCTGTTCTGATTACAAAGATCATTTGTTATTTACACAATAGACATTTGTATACAAATGGAGGCTGACATGAACCTAAACATTTTGCTCTGTGTTTGTCTTTGCCTAGTGTTAAAGACAGCATTTAAGCAGTTAAATGCTGTCAGGCACACACACACACACACACACAATTTTACAGAGATCCAAATTATGAAGCTCAGAGCAATTTTTAAAAATGTACTTTGGTTGGAATTTCGTGCTAGTTATAACTTAGAAGTTGTGAAAATAAACTAGAGTTGACTGGAAATTTGTGTGCTCATTGGATAATCAGCATTGAGACAAGAGACTATGGAGGAAATTGGATGAGTAGGCAGGCCATATTGTAGCGGTTAATTGTTGGAGGTATTTAATTTTTACAGTTGGATATTGCTTGGGGCATGGAGATTTTCTTCTGTAACTAAAACATAAAAACAAAACAAAAAACACAAAGCTTTTGTCTAGGTTCAAAGACACCAGTTAAATGCTATCTTTGAAATCTGGTTCACAGTGTTTGTTTCTAAAATCTACTCCAACCAGAGGTCTACTGTCTCAGTCAGAATTGTGAGGAACTCAGGAGAGGTGGTTTGGAGAATGGTGAGGTCTCAGTGTATCTGCTTTGCCTGTATTTGAGTCCCCAGTGTGGCTCTCTCATATTGCTGATGTGCTTGTCTGTAAGTGAAGCTGACTGGAGCCTCGAATTTCTCTCCCTAGAACCTTTTTGACATTATGCATGATAGAATGGAAGTCTATCCCTGCTGGAAACAGGTGCAGTTTAGGGAAGAACACCGTTCCACAGATAACAGGCATGTATATGTCCAGTGGATTTAATTAGACACAGTGCCCATTAGCAATTTCTGCAGATGTTCACATCAAATCACCTGAGCTAATTCTCCCACACTCTTCTGTTTAGCCTATTTTCTCATTCCCAAGTGTATGTACTCTCTCCTTAATCTTATGATGCCTGCATGCAGACAAGTTTCCTTCTGCTCATAGAATCCAGGTGCTTGATTCATTGTGTGATATTGAAGAGATTCCAATGCTGGTGGATGTTTAGTCTTCATTAAGAAATGCATATTATTCATGGTGAAGGGCCCTATCTGGAAGTAAGGGACATAGTGGCTGTGTCTAGTTGGGCGGTCCAGTCTCTGATACAAAGAATGTGTACTCTGGGTTCTCTGAGACATAGTCAGAAAGAACAGTGGCTGCATTTAACTGTCCTGCAGAAGCACTTTGCTAAATCCAGTGCTTGTGGTCCCAGAAGTGAAAGCTTTTTCTAAAGAATGCAACTTATTTCCCAGGGGTGTCTTACAGTATATGTACAGAGCTAAGTACACTGAATTTAAAAAAAAAATAAGCATGTTCTAACAGTGTGAAGGAAGATTTGAACTAGTAAAGAGGCAATTTGGGAGCTTATCTCATTCTCATCCCTGTTTAGCTGGGTAATCTTCCTCTCCCTTGGCTTTAGTTTCTTTAGCTACGAAACAGTAAAGTAGAATGTTTTATTTTAAGATTCCTTCTGACTTAAAAGCTGTGCTTTAAATAGAGCCAACTTACATTGTTTCTCTCTGCCTACAAGTGCAGCTCATGACTCCACAGTAACATTAGAGTGACAGACAGGCACTGAGCTCTACATAAATCATTTAACTCACAGAAGCCTTGTTGGACGTATTTATTGTCCCCATTTCACAAAGATTGTTCCCATGGGGAGATTTAAAATTACTATCTCTAAAATAATAAAGAGAACTGTAAGAAATTAGTAATGACACAAGCGAAGAAACGGTCTAAAATGTGGCATGTGCCCACTCTGCTTCCCTTTCCTTTCTGTCTCCCCGAGCCTCAGCTAAATGCATAAAATGGGTATATATGACCTCTGAGCAAAAAGCAGAAGCTGAAAACAGACGAATTCCTCAGAGTGTCTCCAGATCTAAAATGAATGCTCATGCCCACATGGTCTCTTTTAATTGGCCGTGCAGGGGTTCGTTATTAGGGAGTGCAGGAAAATTTTTAAAGGGCATTCATAAACCATCTAAAAATAAGATTACAGCTGCATAGAAAATATCTGACCCTGAGTACAGACATCCTTTGGAATCCA